TGGATTTCAGTTCTCTCTCATCACAAGATCTTAACTACAAGTGAGACCTCTCAAATATAAGACCAACATTTTATAGCAACTGGGTACATCTGCTAGATTCTCAAAACCTGAAGAGCTTTTGACAACTTATTTTCCCTTTTGCAGGGAACTGTTGTCTGGCTGGAAGAAAAAAATCCAGGTCCAACAACCAATTACACACAAAACCTGTTACTGTTGACTCAATCCAGCATGAAACAGACAGTGTTGTCTTTTCATGGAATAAAGCTTCTCTTAGCTCTCTCCACTTTGAAAGAAACAATTTTTATTCTTACATTTTCACATTTGAATACTCTGCTGCTCACCCTGTGGTGATATATTCTCTGCTACTCAGTATGAGTGGAGCTGTTGATATCCTCAGGCTTGAGCTATACTGATGCTCTGTCCTAATTTCCAACATTGTTAGACAGTACTGGCATAAAACCATCAGTTTGAAGTCAAATCACAAAGTATGCTCAGATTTGAACTGGAAAGCCTGAAGCAGGTATATATTGCAACAGGACAAGCCACAACTTGAGACACTGATCCACATCTCACTCAAACTCTCCACTGACTTTGGCACTTGCTGGCCCAGCCCTTAATCCTGTAATAATCCCATCCTGCAGCAAACACTGCAGCGAATGTTCTAGATGCTTCTTAAGGTAAGCTATTAAACTACTGAGATATTAACAAAAATATTTGCATAGTAAATGTCACACTAGCCTCCCTGAATATAATCTGTAACCTTGACTATAGCTGTTACCTTATCATTGGAAACTAGAAGAGGAGAAAAAGTTTAAAGGACAGAATTTTAAAAACCTCTCTCACCCACCCACCAGCTCCTCCTGCACCATGCTTGCCCTGCCTTAATGCACCTCCTCACTGTGGTGCTGCCACCCATCCAACATATCCTACTAAACCACAGCAATTTCAGAGTAACAGGGATTTTAGCTCTTTTTCCTCTTCTTACAAAGCATTAAGATTCACAGCCATTGAGCTCCTTAAAAATCCTACTGAGGAAAAGAGGAAGAAAGAATGAAATCAGTTTAGCAAGTATATTTGAAGTCAAACAGAAATGAAAAAGTGAGCTTATGAAGCAAACAGAGGGTGTTTCACAGAAGAGGCCCACACACAAGCAGGAAAAGCGTGCCACCAAATGCATCACTACAAAGCAAATATGTTGAAAATAACATGAGAAGATCTTTGAGAAAATAAAACTATTTGAAAAGAGAAACTAATCATATGCAATCTACAGAAGCACAGTTGGAAAAAATATTGCATCTTACAAGTAAGAATAAGCGTTTCTAGCTGGAAAGTAATAATTAAGAACAGATTCACTTTTTTCAAGTGCAATCGTCCCCTTCGAGCTTACCTATGTTCTGTACTTAACTACTGTCTTTGAAATAGAAGTGTTTACATGTATTTGCTTGTTCTAAAAGCACACAGATCTCAGTGAGCACTGTCTTTTAAACCTAGCTCCCATATCCAATGCAGGAAGACACCGAGCAAACTTAAATAGCTGTATCTGCCTGTGAGGCCAACTTCTGCGATTCACACAAGCTGCTACTGAAGCAATGCCCTGTATGGGCTCCTAGCACAAACATGCTACACTGCAATCAGCACCGCCCAAAGCCAGCATATGCAGCAATACAAGTCACCTTACTTCAATAGGGCTCCACCTGGTGCAACTGCAATACAGCTGGGAGCAAAGTTTTCAGGAGAGAAACACTTGTTACCATGACAAAGTTTAGGAGTATTATAATGCTGAAACTTTCCACAGCCTCTGCAGTGCATAACTTGTCATTACTGGAAGCAATATTTAGTCTTCACAAAGGCTTACAAAGAGTACTACTACTCAGTATAAAGGCAAAGGGTCATCTTTATTTAGTAGGATTTTAAATTTTAAAACTGATTAAATGCCTTATCACAAAGCAGAAAGACTACACAGGAAGATTCTACTGAATTGTGAAAAATTTCCAGATACTTTGCTTGGTTGTTGAGGTAACTTTGTGCAGGCCTGTCAGATAGGGATTTTCTTGCTCCCCTTTGGATTTACTCACATTCAGAAAAAAGAAAACATCCACAAACATTCTCAAGGAAACATTCAGAAGGATGAGTTGGCTCTGAAACTCTCAGTATTTTTCACCCAGTATCATATCAGTAGGGTGCCAATTCTAGCCTACCTTTGGCTTCTTCAGGTATAACATAACAAAAAAGCTTGAATGCCCATTCTGAAAATTTCAAATTCACTGAGAAATGGTATTTTGAAGCTTCTTTGTCTTTTTAGCATTAGCCTGGACATCAGATTTCTTGTGCATTTATTAGCAAGTGCAAGAAGTTAAAAGGTTGCTCTTCTAAAGCACCCCCCCACCTTAGCTGACAGTCCGCCCTCTACTCTTCCAGCAGCTGCAAACAAAAGGGTCCTTCTGTAATACTGCAAGTTACCTATTCTCTTCTACAGCACTATGACAACTAAGAGCCCACTTTCTTCTTTGATGTCTAGTATTTTATGTACCTGAAAATAATTTAATAATTTTCTCTACAAAGAAGTACTTCATACCTGTCAGAAAGAGACTACTGACTGAACTTTCCGGAGAACCTAAGCTTCTCACACAGCTGCAGGATGAGCTTTCAAAACACCACCCAGGTTATATGCTTTTGAAATACCACTCAGATTTGCTCAGCCTATTGAGGGAATTCTCCATTTTCCCTTCTTTACAACACATCCGAGTCTGGATATTTATAACCCATGGATCCAAGAAGTTTGTCCTAGCTGTCTAGTAGATGTTACAAGTCATTTTAATGCTGGCATGTCAGGCTTCAGTGCTCTTTATTAAGGAGAGCCAAAAGCTCTACTGATTCAGGAAGACAGTATTTCAATTGTTTATATTTAACATTTTCAATGAAAGCATAAGGAGTAGAAATTCAATTTTAAAGAGCTACACTTTTCTGTTGAGGCCAATCTGCTAGAGACAATACACCAGCCATAGCTGATGTTCACTAAACTTCCAATCTGTTAAACTAACTCAAGAATACTGTTGATTTTGAGGAAGTGGCATGCAATTCTTAAACAATTAGATAATAATCTTCATACAGATTAAAATGTGATGGAAGAAGAATGGAAGGCAAACTCAAAAAAGAATGGGCGAGAAGATGGGGGGAGTACAGTATGAAGTAAGAGACTCAAGAGAAGGGTCCCAGTTTCCAGAACATACCAATTGCCTGTCCATGAAAAAACACCTTACACAATGGAAACTACAGAGTAGGGGCTTGGGGGCAGGGGAAGAAACAGGACTGAAGGAACAAACACAATCAACACATAACCATGTGTCAATTTTTAACAGTATTGTCACCAGTGCCTACATCATCTCAAACACAGACTTGGGCAGATTGGTTCTATTCCTTAGCATGCATCTGGAAGAGTGAAGGTAGTCACGCTTCCATACTTCTGTGAAACATTTTGAGACCTGTACTGTAAACAATAATAATTATTTCCAGCTTTACTTTTAATTGGGGAAGTGGTAAGAGCGCTGAAGAAAAGGTTTCAAAGTCTTAAATGCAATGGTAAAGTTATAACATACAACTGACTTTGCAAAAATTCTGTCTTAATTCATTGTGGCATAATTAGATGTTGCAGCTTTAAACTGTACAAATGACGACACATCACCAGATTTATTGCAACACTGACAGAAAATTTGCTATTCTATTTACACTGCCTCATGTTTAAGCTGCCTCTTTAAAAAACAAGTATGCCAAATTCGTCATTGAAGCAGGTATGGTTTAACTTCTGTGATTCTCTGTTTGCCCAGATAAGACACTTTTTCAAGAAGTGGCTTTTGGCACTGTGCCACCGACACCAAGTCCAAGTAAATCCTTATTACACAGATCACTGACCTGAATCTACTGATACTCTTATAATCTTGCCCATCAATCCAGCTGTCAGGCAAGCTCATTAAATCCCAGACATAAAGCATACAAAATTTTAACTGAGAAAAAAGTCACAGAGCTTTCAAAATGGCCATTTAAAAACTTCTACCATTACCTTTCCTCAAAAACAATGAAAAACTATTTCTGTTTCTCTGAGACTTGTTACCAAAACTCAAAACTATGTTCCTTTAAGGTGGGGGGAAAAAAGCCACACACAAAAGGCAACTTAACTAGCTGACTCCTACTTCTTAAACACATTAAGTCAATTAATTTGTGCAATGGTTTGTTTTTTAAAAACTGTTCCAAAAATTGAAATGCAACATGACAAAACTTAACTGTAATATTAAGCCAGATTTAAACAACTGTAAGCCTTATATTACAACCTTATGAACACAGTACCTGTAACATAATAACTTATTATCAAAACATTCTCACAATGGTATTGCTAAATAAAAATCACCACACTGATTTCTATGCAGATATGACACCACTAGGTTTGCCACTTGTCAGAGATTTAAAATGTTTAAATAGGTATTCCCTTCATGAACTTGAGCGTCAGAAAACTTAACTTGAAAGTTTCACAAACCCATCTTAGATTTTGTATGTATTAGAGAAACCATGATTAAAAAAGCATGGATTTTGATTGTGGATTTTTTTTTTTTTTTCTTATTTTAGATCTGATGACAGACCTGGATTACCAACTCTCCATGCTGTTTGATAATCCACAGCTACATCAGGATGTAGCAGTACACATTTCAAATAGTTGTTCCTTTTATTAACAGAAACGCAGAAACTAGACTTGGTTGGGGGAGCTGTTTGTTTTAAATACTCTCCTTTTTTTCAGGAAGAGACTTCCTTCAGCAGCTCAAAAAGCCTGTAGACAAGGACTAAAAAGGCAGCTTCCTGGGTCTGACTTTGTTTTGTACCTCAAAAGCAAAATAAAACAAAATCCAGCCTAATGAAGTGGCAAGCCCAGAAGTCACAAACGTTAGCAGGATGTTACTACAGCACCAAAAACAATGGAAAAGATGAACATACACATAATTTATTATTCCTACCTTCCAAATACTTAGAGACTTTCTCCATTCGAACTGCCATATGGTAAAGAGAATGAACAGAAAGGTGCAACGTTTAGCTTTAAATCATTTACAGAAAACAAGCCAAAAGAAATCTGGAGTTGTGATTATTAGTAGTACAAAGGAAGTTATTTGTCCGAACCTGAGGTTAGGTCAGATCCTCTGTTCTTTTTATCTTCTACTATTTCATAGAACGGGCCTATTACTTGCAGTAATTCTTCAACTTTGTCCGTCATTGGCATACTCTCAAGAATCTGCACAAGTCCAAAATATGAAGCATCTTATGAAACAGCATTTCAATGATTCATTCATTTCAACTGATTTTAGAAACTGCTGGTCATTGTAAAACTCAGTAGCATTTCACTAAGTCACTTAACACGTTATTCTGATTTTTTAGTGGTGTTTTTGGCTTTTTTTTTTTACTAAAGAAAACAACATAAACCTAATTTACCAAAAAATAATCTTAACTAACTGTATTAACTTTTTTACGTGAAGAGAAGATGGGAGAGCTAATGCATTTGCCACCACTAAAGGACCGCCTCAACACAGTATTAGTAGACCTTGGAATCGATTATTTCAGCAATTTCAAACTAAACCAACTCAAAGTTCAACAGGCTGCTGTTATCTGATGCAATTTATTTTATAGACAAGTTTTCCCACAAAGAAAATGAAACTGAAAGACTTTTTTTCTTAGAGGATTCTTTGTATTTGTCAAACCCTGCCATCTTCAATGGAATGTAAAGAGCAGATCAGAAGTGCCCTACTGGATCCATCTAGACCCAAACAACAAAATGGACAGAATAGAGCAAAACTGGGACAGTGCAAAGACATACTTAGCAGAGCAAACTAGAACCAAATTCTGCTCTTGAAGTCATTTGGAGCTCTTCCTTTGATGAAAAATCCTTCATTTTAAATTACAAAACCAATACCATTGATCATCTGATAGGAATGCAAAATCTTAAACCTAAAATAGATTAAACAGAGGAGATTCAATAATTTAATATTATTTTAAAAGCATACAATATTATTGTCCCATTCTAGTTTAAGTCCTTTCAACCAAGCTTTTTGCCAATAGCTTTGTTCCTCTTTCATGCTCTACTTTTTAAATTATTTAAAAGAGACGATAGCTATAGGAGGAGATTCAGGTAGAAGCAAACTAACCGCCACAGTACACCTCCTCCTCCAGAAGAGCACTAAGCAAGCAACAGTTGGAGGTACAAGTTGCCACAGAACACACTGCTCAAAAGCGCCAAGCACATCACTAAGTAGTAGAAGCAAAAGCTACAGAATTACTTCACAAAGCAGGAGCTCCAGGCAGGCTAGCATGTAACAAGTCAACACTTGCAAATCAATCAAGGATACCAACAGACAACAAACCTATCAAAGTGTATTTTAATTGCCCCTTCTCTGATCTATTCAGTGCATATAATTCATTCCATATTCGTTAGAAAGAAATGTTCAGTGCTCAGATACAGAGCTGGATATGAACCAGAGACAGGACAGTTTTGTGATTTTTTTTTTTTCCTTTAATTTTTTTTTTTTAACTTCAATACCATTGAGAGAAACAAGAAACCTATTCTAGAATAACACTTGTATTTGCTATGTATTTACTTCTATAGTCTGCACTGTAAAGTGTTTCATCCGCGCATATCTATGATGTCTGCACATTAACTGTTCTTCATCTAAACACACCTCAATATACTCTCTGCAACTTGGAGCAATTCTTAGAATCTTACCACACAATTTCTGTTAAACTAAGAGTTTTGTAACTGTTAGCTTTTAGGTGAGCAAGAAAAGAACATATACTTCCACAAAAAAAAAAAAAAAAAAAAAAATTGTTTATTTATATAGCCACTAGGCATAACATGCAATCTTAAAATCTGAAAGTGCAAAGTAAGTAAGTTAAACTACGACAATTACATATCCCAAACTACTGTTTTCTTTGGATGTCAGACAATGCACGTATGAAGATTCTTGTTTTAAATTAGAAACACCATATAGTGTTAACACTTCTTTATTCTAAGATATCACTCATTTCTAATATATAACAACACAATATATCTGAAGTGTAAATAAATGAGTTTAAACAGTATTGCAATATAAAATTTCAGAAATGCTACTTGGAAGATAAATTAACCATATACAAAATGCACCTGAGCTCAGATTGATCTTAGCTAAGACTAAGACACATTTGGTCATCTCCCACCAGCACCTCAAAACCTCACCCAGACACATTCCTCAACAGCTGCAATTTTCAAGGCTACCACATGAAGGGAAATAAAAGTATCTCGTGACAGGGTCATCTGATGCATGTACAGCCCAAACACAATGTGCAAATGCTAGGGACATGCCCCAGGGGCAGGGGGCGGGATACAGCAATCTTATACACCCCTAAACACAGTCCTGTGATACCCGTATACAAGTGGTTTTTTGCCCCCTTAGATTGGATACCTATGCAGCAACAGCAGAATGCCCACAGTAACACCACAAGGATTAGTGCAGTATGTGCTGATAGAACAACCCAGTGGATCCATTTGAAATGCACTTCCATTGACATTTCAAGCAGAATTAAATGGGTTGGGAAAAGCTGAAGCTGGTATTTCAAATGTGAGAGCTGAAACAGCACCAAAGCAGGGTAAACAGATTGCCCAGTTTCAAAGCTGAGCGAGGCAAGAAGTCATTTGCTCTCCAATCCTTACATGTAATCTGTACAGAGGCAGAATATTTGTGCTTCACTAAGGTCAAGTAAGTAGACTTCCTCACAGGAGGCTTACTAGGGTTTTCTTAGAACAAACATTGCAGTTTCACTGAAGTTTTAGTGTCCTAACCAAACCAGTTACTGCACTGAAAAAAAATAAGGTACTCTACTGAAGTATTAACACATTCCGAATCCAAGATTTGTAATGAAGCACTAAATCTTGTGGCACGCATTCAAAATTAATTATTAAAATCTAGTGGATTTTTGACCAAATGAATAATATTTGGCCTTCTGTGTTTTCTGGATTAGTTTATTTTTCATTTTAAAGCAGCTACAATAATACCACCAAAATTACAGACAGGGAAAAGAACAGTAGTCAGACTCCAGCTCCTCGCCTAGTAAAAGTTTTTGTTGTATCAATCATTAAACATGTTAAGAGTTCAATGTCAAGTTAGTGGCTGAGGACAAAAGCAAGTGTATTCGGAGTAGAACTTACATTTTCTCTCCTTGATGCTAATCTCATTATATTACTAAATTACAATTATACTTTTATCCAGATTGACAGTAAATAATCTTTAAACTGGTAAGGCCACCTAGAAGAGCTTCAGTGAAAAGACTGCAGTGAAAAGGGTTAGTTAATAAAAGACAAGAATCTTTAATTCTGAATGTTTACTTTAGTTAATGCTGCAATTTCTGCTTAATATAGTAACTATGACTATTTATAAGTTACACATCTATTCCAAAAAAGACAGACCAAATACTCAGTTCTAACTGTTTGACTGCAACTGTAATATACAAGGAATATTTTCATGAGAAGTACAGAAAATTTAGGTTGCTGAGTTCTTCTTGAAAAAAATCAAAGACGATTAAGTTTACATATTTGATTATAGTCATGTCTCCAGTCATAAGAGTGAGACTCTTGCTCCTGAAGTCCTTCTGGAGGGTTGGTTTTCTTCCTTTCTAAGATAAGGATCACTTACCTCTCTCAACTCTGAGAACTGAGGCAGTTTGTAGTAAATCAGCTTTTATTGTTGTTGTACTTTAAGTTCCACTGTTTTCCCCACTGCCTCCTTTACCATGATCTCAATACTTCACTTTCTTTAGCTCTGTCATTTAAGTTTCATATCAGCTAGAGCTCTCATGTTTCTCTGAAAACAAGCCAAATTCTACAGCTTTGGAAGGAACTACATAGTTTTCTTCTCCCTGTGGGCCAAACACTATAGTACTGAAATGTAACAGTTCACGTAGGGAATAACGCATTTGGAGCTTTGACAGTAGTAGTCAGCAAGAACCTCCTCACGTTCCCTAATTTCTTTCTGGAACATTTGTTCTAGAAGATCCTTTCTGCTCAATAGTAAACTTACCTTCTTCATTTCTTCAACATAGGCTATCATGGCTTCTTCTTTGGACATGTCTCCCAAGGCACTCCAAGCATCCCTAGGAAAAAGTTGCATACAGCTTCAGTATCTTCAGGGCCTACTGGATTTTTTTAGCCTGGCCTTAAGTAGGTTGGTTATGTAATGCCCAAAGTTTCTCCGATACAAATAAAATGCAACAACAATTCACAATTTTTTTTTTTTAATTTAAAGTCCAAACATATAATTTGCTAGGATAATCACATAGTGGTACATCAACAAAGAAGCAACAAACTGAACAGCCTGGAGACTGAAGAGTTCCTCACTGACCAGCTATGATCTTGTATCCTGTAAGTTGTTAACAAGCCCAGAAAGGAGACATACACACATTTCCCTTTTGATTAGGTTGAATTTTTATTTTTTTTTTAAGAACCTCTGCTGCTGCAAAAGAGCAGGCACAGAGACTTCAGCCAGTACTTACAAACAGTTGTCAGCAAGTTAGAACAGGCTACAAGAGAAATCTGTGCTTTTGAGTTTAGCAATTGGGAAAAGACACACCAGTCTAGCAGGCAAATGGTTTAACCATTGCCCTCCCCCCTCCCCAGTTACTACAGCAGCTACTTATGACCTAAAAAAAAAAAAAATATCTCCCCCTCTCCAACTCTGCAGGACAGAAGACTCCAATCAAATTCATCAGAATATTGCACAAGGAATCTGTCAGAACACAGACTGGAATAAAACATTTCCTTAGTCTTGCACTTGATTTGACACCATCCCTTCCTCTTGCCAGAGTATTTGTCCCACTTACAGCAAAACCCCAAGGCTGGTGGCTCACATTTCAGCTACAACCAACCAGGTGGGTGGAAGCTTAGTGCCCTAGTCCTCTGCAAAGATACCCCCTTCACCCTGACTTGGGGAGACTGGGGAGGAAGGAAGGAAGAAAGAAGAAAAGAAAAGAAAAGAAGTCAAAGGAGTAATTTCACAGATCCCAAGAAAACCATGACCATAGAGACAGCAATAATACTTGTTCTTCAGGACAAATCGTTGTTAAAATATAATAAGCAAAGCATTCACATGGCTTTTCAAACAGATCTTAGCAATTTGATGAATCAGAAGTCTTCCCAGCACAAGGAAAATACAGACAGTGGGAAGCCCTGCCACTAAGCAGACAAGCCAGAAAGACACATGAACCAGACCTCTCCCCAAGAGCCTGAAGCTGTATCAATGGCTGTCAAGGAGCACTTACTTCGGGCTCATGTCATACGTGACAACTTAAGAAGGAAGAATTCCAGACACTCATCCACATCACTCATTCTGCAGAGCACCTACAATTTAGCTCTACAACATTGGACACTGCAGAGGTACCATGATGGTGCTTGCTCAAGAAAAACCTGCCCACCTGCAGAACCCAAGGGAATGTTTTCACCTGCAACTCCGAGAAGTCGTAGGTTATCTGAGCTAGAAAGTTGGAACACAAGACAGAAAACAAATTCAAGCATCGAAGGTTGTGAATGCTCTTTTTTAAGAGAGAAATAAACTCACTGAACTCTTCCTCCAAGTGCCACTCTTCTAAAGATCTCCACTCTGAGCATTAAAAATAAAAACCCCAAAACCAAAAAACAAACACAAAACAAACAAAACCCAAAACAATAACTCATGAAAAGTTACCATTTATATCTACCAATTGGATCCCAAAATCCAGGTCGTGGGATGTTACAGGGTCCTTGGGTTGCTTGCTTATAAAAGCTATAGAACTTCAGCATCATTTCATTCGTTGGCTGGAATGAACCTAGTGAAAGCATTTTAAAATACAATTAAATTGTAATCAAGAATATTAACGAGTATTTTACAAGCTTAGTACTTCTGTGAGAAAATAGCCTGCAGTTTGTTACAGCCTGATTCACAGCAGTACAATTTAAGTCAACAGAGAAGATCTTCACTTCATCTACCACGAACCGGCACCACTGACAATATTTACTTTACAAACAGCAAGTTTCAGATTGAGTTTAAGGGACTATAACCTTTACTATTCATAAGGTCAGACTCCACAATTAGAAAAAAAAAAAAAAAAAAAAGAGTATTAAGTAATATAAAGCAAGTGTCCTTTCACTCAGTTTAAAGGGACAGGTTTAGCTCCCAGTAAACAAAGTATCTTGCAAGTCACTTTACTGTTACAAACAGTAACTTACTGAAAGACTCCTGAACTTAACAAAAAAAAACAAAACCAAAAAAACCCCAACCAAACGAAAACCAAACACAACAAACCCAAAAGACATCCTTCCACGGTGTTTTTGTTTACTTTGGGTATTTGACAGCACTTTCAATAACAGTTTTGCTGTATCTCCTGTTATTATTTTCTCTTCTTCCTTTGTGGAACACACTTTTGTAGAGGTAGAAAATGTAAATACAAAACTGTAACAGCTGGCGGGGAAGAGTCATAACCAATCCATTAAATCAAATACTTTGAGGTCCGATTCCAGTCACTAGGAGAAGTTTACAGCGACCTTTACCTTAGTACCTCAACAAAGCCAGTTTTACTTACAGCAGAATTAATGACGCATGTAATAACCAACTATTTTTTCTATTACTCTTATCAAAAAAATATATTCCGATTTTTTTTTTTTTTCTTTTTCGTTCTGTTAACTCTTTCAGCAGAGAGAACTCGTGCTAACAGCTCTGAAGCCGGCAAACCAACTTCAGGATTTCAGGGGGGCAGAGGCCTTTCCCCGGCGTTCCCCGCACCGCGGGGAGCTGACAGGCCCCCTCCTCCAGGCGCCTGGCTGCGGAACTTCTGTCCTGGGCTCGGAAGCCCCCGAACCGGCGGTTGCTTCAGGAGAGGCCAACGGGCAGCGCTAAGACGGAGGCTCCCCAGCGGTTCTCCAGCCGCCGCCGGGGCGGCTGAGGGAGCGCGGCCCTACCGCCCCGGCCTGAGCCACCCGGCGGGCCGCGCCACCGCCCCTG